TAAACCTACTACACTTACTACCAACAAGCTATTAAGATTCTCTAGCAAAAGTGTTTCATCTTTTAATCTCTCTAATTTTTGACCCCATTACTTTTGATAAAATAGACATGGTTAATTCATAATAAACCATAAACATAATGCCTATTTTTACAGAACTATAAATGGTCAGAAATACAGTGAGGCTCCGTTTGGTTGGATTGAATTGTAATTGAATTTGAATTATAATACTATTGAATTGAAAATGAGATATTAAGATTATAATTCAAACTTAATTCCTTTGTTCAGGAGATCTTGATAATTGGCTAGAATTAAGCTTCTAATACCAGTTCTTGCGTTTAGATGCATAAAATTTTAGATATTTTAGAATTGTAATTAGTTTCTTATTATTTAACTAATCAATTTAATTCATTTCAAAAAATAAAAAAATAACTTTAGTTTCTTATTGATATGATAATTTATATTCTCACTCAATACACAACAAATAATAAGTAAAACGTTCTTGTTTCTCTTCCGTTTATTAGATTTTAACATTTTTAATTTCTAATCTTTGGAATTTTTTAGTGTCTTTTAATGAAAAATTAATATTTAATAGAAAAATCAGTTTATGTATGTTAGTATTCTTTTATATATAGATATACGTTAAATTTCATTTTTTTTATTACATAAATCTATTAATATGAAAGTAAAATTCCCAGTCAACAAACAACTAAGTCCTGGTCCAACCTATTTGTTTTTTCTCAATTTATTTTTAACTGTTAAAACTTTGAAAAAATTATGTTTTCAAATTCCTAAAATAATTGTCTGATTTGAATTTTCATTTATGATAAAAATCTAAACGAAACAATCATTTTGAGACCAAGAAAGTATTAGTGTGCACAAATGTATGTAATAAATATAAATAAACTTGTTTGAAAACAAACATAAAAAATTTTAATCTTTTACTATCATATAATCAAAAAAATTCTTTGATCGAAGCAAATGCAATTACTTATAAATATTTTTCAATACATTTTTAGTATGGAAATATTTTGATAAAATTTTTGCAACAAAATATTATATTGAGTTAAAGAGAAAAATTTTGATGCTTTAATAACTATCAGTATGTTATATATGATTTCTACTTCATTATTTAAATTAAGAAAATAAAATTTGAAAAAAAAAGAAAAATAAACAAGAGAAAAAGAAATACTTAGTTTGTTATATCAAAGTAAATTATTACTTATTGCATATATTAGATAAAAAAAAAGATAAATTTATTATGCACATATATATTAGAAATATTTTTATTGTCAGTAATTTAATTTTTATTTCTTTTCTTTAAAATTAAATTTTTTATTTAAAAGTACAAAGAAATGTGAAAGAAAAAACACGCTGGGAAAAAAGGGAGGAAAAAAAGAAAACAACGGCGCTTTGTGTCTGGCGCTGAAAAAAGAAAAAACTTAAAAAAATCATTTTTTTGTTTGAAAGCACAAAAAAAAAGCCACGCTGGCCGCTGGGCATTGGAAAAAAAGAAGAAAAGAAAAAATAGGTCAAAAAGGTCAAAAGGCTTAAAAACAACCCATTTAGCTTATAACCCGGAAACGACTCATATTTGACCCGTGAATTTTTAAAAAAGGCTGGAATTTGAATTACCATTATTTGCTCCCACAAAAGAATTAAAAATTAAAAATTGAGCCCCATCTTGAATTATAATTCCAATTCGAAAGATCTATTTTTTTCAACCAAATACAAGAATTAGAATTGAAGGCCCCAATTCCAATTCTTAGGTCCAATTAAATCCAACCAAACAGAGCCTGAGAAAATTTCAAATTATGCATGAGAAAAATTTAATAAGAAACCACACATACTCATGTTTCAGGTACACACTTCACATCATATAAAGAAATGATTTCAGCAAATGCATCCAAGAGAATCGAACATAAATCTAGTAATCACCCAAAATCTGCATTGATGCTTTATAGTAATTAAACTACTAGAATGTTAGTAATAATCTCATAAATAATGCTATGAAAAATCAAGTAAACACTAAATCAAAGTAATAATCCTTGCCTTTGGGCAAAAGGAAAATTTCGCAATTTAATGTTTATTCATTTCCATTTCGTTTGATCGAATTCACTAAATTATTTACCTCCTTTTGGGGCAGTAATTTCTTTAATGAATTTAATCACTATAGATGCCTTTCTTATATCATAATTTCCTTTTCGAAAATGATCACCATTCAAAAAGATGATAAGAAATTAGACGTCATCGAACATTAATATACTAAAGATGTTTTGGCTGTACTTTAGTATATTATGTCAATTTCATCTTGCAATTCAACCTAGCATAATGTTGATTTAACACCATTAATCTTATCACATACAAAAAATAATGTGATCTAAAATATTTTGCATCACATGTTCAAGGTGCTTTGGCTACTCTCAAACATATGATACAAAATTTACCTGAATTGGCACCTAACACAAATTGACAAGTAAATTTTCTTTTTCCCTTTTTATCATCTATGTGGCTGAAGTATGTGGCTGAAGTATACTTTAATAAGAGAATTTCGTACTGAAAATGTTCTTAAATTATTAATTTATCGATAACCATTAAGGTGGCTATTTTCATTTTAATCCTCTAAAATTTCTTTTACATAAATAGTATTTCAATCACTTAACTTCATGCAATTAAAATAATTAGTGCCACTTACCGGATGCTTTGGCGTACCAATTAGATGACACAACAATAAATTTAATTTTTAAAGAATAATTAGAGAAATACTATTAAATAGTCAAACACTCTTAATATCGATATATAAATAAAATATTCATAAAGAGAATCATCGTATTTTATCTTTGGATTAAAATATCGATATCTTAATGATCCACACAATACGTGAGAAAGTAATAATTCACATATACATGCAACTTCGATGGAGACACTATATTCCTTTGGGTAATAAAAAATCTCCTTCGTGAATATAAAATCAAAATACCTTTGGACAAATTTTAATTTGATAATCACGATACAAAAATAATAAATGCAACCTTTAGACAAATAGTAAGTTCATTTAGTGAAAACAAACTATTCAACTTAAATATTTAAAGGTTATTTAACATTAATACGTATCCCACTGCAGGTTTCAACTTTCAATTACGTGGGTTTACTCCAAAATGGTCAACAGAGACATCATTGTTGACATGTATTTTACCTTCACGGAGGGTAGGAATTTTCTTTGACATGCAGAACAAATTATAGTTGATCAAAAACAAAAATTCAATACATATTCTTTGACTGCCGTGACATTATGGCATATATAAACAGTATAATACGAAAAATTCAAGACAATACTTGAGCAGAGAATTATATTAACTACTACTCGCTGCAATTCCAATATCCTCGTCAATGCATTATGCCGTTAACTAACAATCATTATTGTTTCATTATCTTTAATAAATTGTTTTTATCACCAACATTTATGTGAAGAAGGTTGAAGCTTTATTTATCCCCAAAAATAGAAGCAAATGAAAGATAATGAATACCTAACACAGTGTAGAAAAAGTAAACAAAATTATATAGCCAACCATCTTTAAGCACTTACTGGCCATGCCATTTTAGTCTTTCAAATGTCACAAAACTTAACAAAAGCCAATATATATATATATATATATATATATATGCAACCTTCGCGTGGCTGCATGCCTACAGTATGCATCACCTTAATACTAATTTCAGGCTTTTAATTTAGGAATAACTCATTCAAGACCATAATTATATTCCACCACAAAGTAAAATTAAGGCATAATCTAATGAACAAATCGCATCAACCGTAAATTGAAAATAGGGAGGCATTAGTTTTTCTTGATCAGTCGTCCACCTTAATAACATAAAACAAAAAACCATTTATGAAACTTAGAGCTAGTGAACCCACCCAATTCTAGCCGAAGTTTATAATTATAAAATTCACATATAGTTTGAGGAGATGATAGCCTTTTTATTATTACTATGATTATCAATCCAAAACAATTCCCAGGACTTAACAACAAAGCAATGGACACCAACCGTGGCTCAGTAAAAGTTTACATTAATTAGCTTTCTGTCATTCGGTGGATAACCAGGATCATGAAAATTACTTTTCTAATCCAATTACTATAATCCAACCAGAAATTGAGTTACATAGTAAAGGAAAAACACTAAAGGCATAAGAAATATCAATAATCAAGATAAATCACCACACCTTTCATACATACGGCTAAATATGGATGGCTTTTTACAATTAGAAGTTCGAACCTCGACGAGTTGGTTGCATAATTGTGAAGAACGAAAATCACCTATACCATACCCCGCAAGTCTCAATCGATTAGTGATTTACAAATCAATAACCTCAACCCAAACTCTACCCACACTCTAATACCACATGTTAATTTTATGGGCAGGATTTTGGTTATGATCTGTAAATCAATAACAACAACATAAATGCATACCTCGTTAAGCCGTGATCTTCCGAAGCCATGGTTGATCAAACCTTTGATCTTTTGACTCAATCCCTTAATATTGGGTAGGTAATGGGTGAACCACAATTAATCGTATGAGTGGAGAGAGGGATTAGCAGTAGCATATATAGAGTAGAGTTCCCTTCCCATCATGTAACGTACTCTTACGATAAATTCTCTCTTTTAACATCCTCTATCAGTTACTATATATACCTACTGTAATAGTGGTTAACCTACTAGGTAAATTCCAAATAGATAGTTATCCATGTTAATTATGGAAATAATATTTAAGTTATTACTGTGGTCATAAAGTCCATAGTAATAAATATACTTAAGAAATTGCAGAATCCATATTTTATATTTTTAAAAGAGATAGTAGCATCCTTTTACTGGTGCCTTTTCCTTTTTCCTTCCAAGAAATGATTTTATATGAATTTGGAAGCTAACATTGAGGGATAAAATGGAGGTTGGGTGGTACACAGAAAGAAGTAGCCGAAATGGAAACTCCTGAAGCAAATGTGGATTGTTTGACTGGCAGAGTAGCTGAAAATCTGAAATAGACAACTGATAGAGGGCCGGGGAGATTATAAGTAGTAAAGATTAAAGAACTACTGAAAGTGTTTATCATCTTGCGAAGGTACATGCATATTGATTGCAGAAAGGCAATCAAACGAAGGCAGTAAGCTTAAATTATAAGTTTTCTTAGAGATCAACAACGTCTATGGAAGGTCCCCATGAACTGAATTAGACCCATCAGTGAATTTGTGAAATGAATATAGTTTACATGAACTGGTCATTTAATACTGTAATGAATGTGTAACAAAACTAAAGCTGAACTGGTCAGACAATTCAGTAAACTTTTGAGTTTTCAGCCGATGGTAACTGCATATAGCTTGCCATTGTCTTTATTTTTCCGCAGCACAATGCAACTCAGCCCGGGAACAGAACTTCATGCTACAAATCTTTCACCATTATCAACGTAATCGGCGTTGTTCACCCAAGCAGTGTATTAATCTGAGATGTTGGCTTCTTTGTACCAAAAAGAAAATGGGAAGAAAAAAGTTTTCCGCAGAGGCTACCGACTCCACCATAAAGGCCACCAGACCACTTGTTATTGTTATTGAATTCTAATTCGAAACATAGAATTTTGATACGCAAAATGATAAGATAATATTTAAGCTAGCGCATGAATCTACTTCGGATTCGAGTCGGGTGATTCTTTTCTAGAATATTTATTTTAATTACAACTGCACTTTCACACCAAATCATACTGTATTTTCTTTCGCGGTGCTTTTTACCTCACCGGGAACCTCAACTTTCAACTCATCGAGAAATTCAAGCAAAGTCAAATGGGATGAGCCACCTTCTGCCACCGCGTCCTCCGCCGCCTTCTTGTACTTCATCGCATTCTGCTTCAGCTCGGCGGCTTTCGGACCAGCCGTGGCTTCCCTCAAGCATTTCTCGATTTCATCTCTGGTAATAATTGTTTTATCAAAATCACCTCTAGACAGTCTAAGCCCAACTCTGAACTCATCAACCAAATACTTTGCATCAGTCACCTGTTCACCCATTATCGGAAAACACAAAACCGGCACCCCGGAGGAAAGCGTCTCCATCGTCGAATTCCATCCGCAGTGAGTCAAGAAACAAGCAACTGAAGGATGATCCAAGACTTGTTTCTGGTTGCTCCATTGCACTATTTTACCCTTCTCCCCGGCTTTCTCTAAGAACCCTTTTGGAAGAAGATCTGACTTTGGCGGCCTAATCACCCACAAGAATGACACGCCGGAATTCAGAAGCCCGTACGCGAGCTCGTCCCCCTGTTCCGGCTTCACACCATCACCACTGCCAAATGATACGTAGACAACCGAGTTGGCCGGTTTCGAGTCCAGCCATTCTTTGCAGTCGTCGGTTATGTAACCGTTGACACTGACATTAGCTGATGATGTTGAAGCAATATTCGTGGAGTAGAGAAACAGGGGACCAATTGGCTTGATGGGGCAGAGTTTGGACATGTAATTGATCACCTCAGATTCCAGCTCCTGGAATGACTCCATTAGTACACAGCAATTCTTGTTCAAGTTCTTAAATATGCTCAATATCGAATCAGTCAGGGCTGGAAACTGAGATTGAGGATGCAAGAAGCTGGGGATTTCATAAGGCTTCAAAACAGGCATACAGGGCAACTGGACATCCAATTCGGGTTCAGATTCAGTGGGAAAAGGAACAAGCTTGTGGTGATAATGGTAATAAGCAGAGAAACTGGCAGCGGACTGAACCCACAACGGAGCAGAAGGGATTCCGAGGGACTCGCCTAAATCAGCAACCCAAGGAATGAAGCAGCTGTAGATCAGGCAACAAACAGGGCGGCCCTGTTCGGCGCTTTCCCGGATCATCTCCGTCAGTTTCCTCTTCCCGATTCTCTCCAGATTTTCCATGTACTGTTCGGGAACCGTGATACCCTGAGCTTCGTCGGCGAAGAACTCGAACCTGATCTTCCCGTCACCGTAGGAAGTTGGTTCCTCGGAGGAGATTGTTTTGTCGGAGATTCGGATCTTTTCAGCGATCCCGTCTTTATTGGGTGCTGTAAGAGTAACCATCATGCCCTTGGAAGCAAATATTTTGCCAAGCCTGAGCAATGGACTGATATGACCTTGTGCAGGAAAGGAAAGTAGAATCACATGAGGAAGAACGTTACAGGGTTGAGTCTCCATTTTTTTGTTTCTGGATCAAAAGACTGAAGAGTGATAGTTTCAGAGTGATAGTTTCAGGATCTGCTTTTTAAGCACTCTTATTTATTACACTGGAATAGAAGAAATTCTATTTGTGTTCTGAGTAGGGCTAAACACTACCACCATGATAACCAAGGGAACATGATAGAGTTATTTATATGTCACTATAAATCACGTTCAAACAAATCTCTATCTGAATCGAGAAATTTATTTCTCGATAAATAAATTTTTCGTCACATATATTATTAATATATATGTGCCAAAGGAAATTTCTCTTAACTTGTATTTTAATTATTGTTATATGCTTAAAAATGCCAGATTCAGACTTTTTTTTTTTTTTTCACTATTGAGACATTAAGTCATGCTTTTTTCTCTTAGCTCGAATGACAAGTACTCATTATGATGACATAACATTTGACAGAATTGTATCCATCTTACACCAATAATCACTGAGGGAGCAAATTTCTCTGTTCCTAAAAATAATCTACTTAAACAGTAATTTACATTAAATTTTGAATAATTTAATTAAATCTCAAAACTCGATATAAAGTATTTTTATGGGATGTAAGGCGTATTGTATAAAAGTGAAAACATGATCAAGAAACAAATCAAGATGGCATGGTAGATGGCTTAACTTAATTGATGGAAAATCAACACCCCATCCCCTGTATATTCCTTCAATTCCACCAAAAAATGCCAAGGATATCAAAAGATTTCCCAAACATTTGGGGTCAATTATAAAGGTAGGAGCCATCAAACCTTTAAACTTTGCAATTTGCATATCAAATTTCTCTCAATCGAATAAACTGATGTGTGGCACAGCTACGTACCACCGTCAATATCGGTCTTATTCTAGATTCAATTCGTCGCCAATTTCAGTTGAATATTCAAGGCAATGAGAAAGACACACAAACCAGAATTTATACCTGAGAAAGAAACAACCGACCGAAATGTGTTATTAATTGGGAATTCTATACACATGTCGCAAATCGTCTTCAGATGATTCTTATTGAAGTACGAATCCGAGGATCCAATTTTTTTGCTTTTTCATGTTCAAGGCCGCATTAATATTGTAGGACAATAGCAGAAAGAGTTGCTTTCGTATCATTGAGCATGATTTTTTACTGAATTTTTTTTTTCTAAATAATGATGACACAACTACACTGAGTGAGAAAGTAGGACTAATTTATATGTCTACTTCTCCTTCCATGACAATGAATTCTCCAATAACCTATCAAACTCACATGTTAAAGTTACCACGCAGCGTAAATTGAAAATATTTACAAAATGATTATCTCTCCTCAAAAAAAAAATTTATAAAAGATTACAAATTTTGAATTTTTTTTTTAAAATAATACATGTATACATTTTCCAAAATACCTAATCTATTGCATCGCATTAGTCTAACTGGTAAATCGTGCATCTCTTCAACTTCGTCTCTACTAACCTTCATGAGACCACGTACATTAAAATTATTCATTATATTCCTAAGAGCTGACACTGCTTCTTGTGCTTCAACCGGCATTAGTTGATCATCAAACGGTTTTGTTCGAACTTTACAATCGGTATATATTCACACATCCATTATTCTCAGAGCCCGGCTTTAGAGCTAACAAGCACGTCATTGCTTCTGAAAAGCAGACCTTGAAACTTACCAACGCGTACACTGGGCATTATTTTTCCTTTCTTTACAGCCAAATATTTCAGGTTAAGCTATGAACACGTAACCAATCCTTTAATTTACTCGGGAAATTTAGGAACCCCGAGGCTCAGTGTTCTAAGAACCAGTTGCTTGGCCATCTGGACGGTTGAATTACCATCAATTCCACGGGAGTTGCTATTTGAGGAGACTTGGAGTATGAGGGATAAAGTGCCATTTGTTGAGGATAAAGGCTAAAGGGTAAGGTGGGACGGATTCACTGATCGGATGTTTTGCTTTGTACAATGATGTTGGATCGGGAAAGCTAGTTTGGGAGTTGATGAAAATGGCAGATGGGAATGTTTTTGGATTCATGAATGTTGTTCAATAAGAAATCCGCAGCAGCAGCAGCAGCAGCATTGATATATTATGTCTAAACTACGAGTTCCTGATTTCGTCCTTTCCATATGGAAGGAAGTTGTCTTAACTCAGAACAGGAAGTTGTCAGCAGATTTGAATCAATATTTCCTATAACCTAACAATAGTTTAGCATCAAGAGTCGAGATACAGATTACAGAGAAACTGGAAAGGAATCGCTTTCCTAAAGCATATTACTGAGGTCAAAATTGACATATTGTTGCAACTTCTGCAGTACCATTCGTCTAACATAAATAACAAATTTAGGTATACTTCTGAAGACACTCAACTTTCATCATCGGAGTCGCCAAATGTTATCTTTGTAGCTTTTGGAGCATCTGCACCAATCTCTCGAAAATGCGCCCCATATAACTTCGACTCCTGCAAATTTAAATAACGTAATGAATCTCTTCGTTCCAATAATCAATAACTCATGGCTTTAAGAAACAAGCAACGAATGTCAAAAGCACTGCCTTCAGGAATCAACAGCATACCTTCTTCTTAACATGAGTTCCGAAGTTCAGGAGAGCAGCAGGAACAACCTGCCCTGCTTCTTTGAGAACGTTTATCAACTCCCCGGCAAGACCCTAGTAGAAATTCAACACCCCAGGTTTAAAAATTTGAGTCACTGAACAATAACAGTCGTTTTCACCTAAAGACATAAAACATTTTTTTTCTTTTTCTTTTCTTCTGAAAAACAGAAACAGATTCAATTCAACATTCAAAAGATGGCATCAAAATTGCATTTTGCAAACACCTTGTTTTCTTTTGTGAAAAATGTGTGAGCGACACCCTTTTTACCAGCTCGTCCGGTCCTTCCAATTCTGTGCACATAATCCTCCGTCGTAAGAGGAAAACTGTAGTTGATTACAACTTCAACATCAGGGATATCTAAGCCTCGAGCAGCAACATCAGTTGCAATCTAGAAAGGCAAAGCTTTAAATTAGTTTACAGATGCACTATAGAAATCTAGACACAGACAAAAACGAAAAACTGCTCCAATTGTCTTACCAGCAACGGACAACTTCCATCCTTAAACGCAGAGAGTGCCTGGTTACGGGCATTTTGTGCTTTGTCACCACTTATGGAAACAACTTTCCATCCCCTAAAAGAAGCAATACAATTGCGATTCCTCAGACAGTTATCCACACTTCCGTATATCTCATATATATATATATGTGTGTGTGTGTGTGTCTGTGTGTGTGTGTGTGTGTGTGTGTGTGTGTGTACAAGTATGACATTTGGCATCTTCTTCACTCTTACCCTTTCCAATAGACACATGATACTAAACTATACATTTGCTATAAGATGAAATCCTGTTCTGGACAATCAAGCAGTCAAAGGAAAGAAACTCGTCTTACCTTCTCAGTAGCATATTTTCTACCCGAGATGCTTCTTTCTTGTAGAGTACAAAAACTAATACTCTATTCCTGCAAAGGAAAAAACTCAAATGAAAAACAAATAAAGAAAAAAACGGAAAACTGGAGAATGCTCTTTTGCACAAATCAGCAAGCACGTTACGGAAATTATCGGCATGCAGGTTGTGGAAATATAGGCATGCAGAAGACCACACAGCATCGAAAGAGTAATTTTTTAAACGTACTTTCTCGATTTGTGGTATTTTTCTAATAAGTTTGTCAAGCGCTCATCGCGTGCCCGATCATCCAAAACCTGTAAGATGAAAATCAAATAGTTAAAGGCCAAGACATAAAATTACTCTTGAATCAAATGCGGGTGATGTGAATTCAAGTTTATACTATACTATAAATGCTAATAATTATGCTATGGTACTTTAGCAGTAATAATTATCCATGTACCTCCACAATTTGCATGACATCGTGGTTAGCAGCTAAATCCTCCGATCCAACCACTACCTGAAACAGGCTGAAAATTACCATACGGATAATGGAAGGAATTGTAGGACAAGAAATCTGGACTAAGATTTTCACCTTAATAGGATGGGGATCCATAAATTCTTGAGAGAGTTGGTGAACTGGTAGAGGCCATGTTGCACTAAACATAACCATTTGCCGAGCTGGATGATTCCCAGAAGTGCATAAGAATATGTTACTATCAGAAATGTGTGTAAAAACTTTACTAAAATCCACAGAGCAGAAGTGAAGGAGGACGAAACAAATGACAGTGCAGAAGGACAAAAGTCATCCTGTATGCTGATTGATGGGGCATCACAATCTCCTTGATTAAAAAAAATAACTCCCTCTGTCCCAGAAAAATAGCCCACATTGAGTTCTGAAATTTGTACTAGTTTTAGTACAAAAATGAAAACTCAATCTGGACTTTTTCTTTGGGACAGAGGTAGTACTACCAAAAATAAGAGACAGTTGAATTACATACCAGAGGCTGTCTGGCTCAATATGGCGCGAACTTCTGGTTCAAAACCCATATCAAGCATCCGATCAGCTTCATCTAGTACCTATTAAAATTGCCAGATTAAGAATCAGTTTTCCTATCTTGGCATATTCCAATTAATGTAATTACTGCAACAATCTGGCACGAGGCTTATAAACTGTGGTTTGAAGCTGACACTTCTAAAGACTCTTTAAGCATAATCGGCATGCTTGATCTACAAGTTGACATATCTTCAAAGAAACATGAAAATGAAACAATTAAAACACTTCTGCAGTAGCATTTTTGTTGTTATCATTAAGATATTTATCCTGCTTGATGCAAAGGATAGCCTAGAATATGCTATTGTAAAACCATCCCAGGAGATACAGTTTTGACTTTAGACTTATCGAAGTATAGCCATCCACCAGATTTCATATAAAAAAGGTCATCATCAATGCTCAGAGAGATCTACATCTCCAAATAAACTGCCTAGACAAGTCCAACCTTGTTTGAAGTAGAAGGAATGAAACATTTTTCACAGACAAGCATTAAATCCTCAACTGAATCTTAGATTGGCGGTTTATGCTTGCTATAAGCAAGAGTAAACTGAAACAAATAAGCAAATCCAAGAAGAAACGTACACAATAACCAAGATGCCAACCCCGAGGAGCCTAAATATATGATGCCGGACCAACATAAAATCAGACCTTAGGTAAATTAATAAGTAGAACACAGAGGAAATTTAAGAGAAAACTGAAAAATAACAAAAGAGAAACACATGAAGGACAGGAACAAACTCTACGAATCACTCTCAGAGACCCTTCAGCATCACACCTTAGGGAACTTTAGGCATCACAAGCAAGGATTAAAGTTGCATCACACAGCAAAGACAATCTGTCGCAGGAATTATTTTCAAACTAAATTCTTGCATTTAAGCTTAAAGAGCATAGACAACTATAGAATATTATGTTCTTCCTTGGGTTCATATTAAACCTGGGCACAATCAAAAAACTTATCATTTATTTGCTAGTACCCTTTCTTAACTGCATAACTATTGGTTGGCAATTGTTGCACTTGTCAAAAGACAAGTGTTAAGGATGTCTCCTAACCATTCTAGCAGGCAGACATAAACGACTGAAATTCCTGCTCCGGACCCACCACCTCATAAGTTCCAAGAAAAAGGGCATCCTATCATAAATACTAATATAATACGTATGGTAAGACAATGCTTCAGGTTTCGCACAGGCCACTTTCTCAGTGCACCAACATACTAGCTAAAGAATAAGATTGAGATATTAAAATGAAGCAATTCCTCACATTAATTTACTCCTGGACTAGAGAAGTGAAAGAAGACAAGTGATCGGTTTGGATAGGTAGACTAGACAAGCGTCAGATTGACTAAATTATAACTACAATTGAGAGGCCACAATCACGCAGCAGCTGGGAACACTTAATTGTAAGCTAGCAAAAGAAGATTGCAGCACCTAACATATACATGAGTAGCTCACAATCACCCCGCCCTTTTAGGTCAGTCTCATGTACAAGCGGGACCCTTGCACACGGAAGAAGTAATGCGAATCGTTTGTGTTATCCTTAAAGTTAAATATGGACGTCATCATTCATAGAAGTCTGATTCAGGATCTAAAACCAGCAAAAATACCTTTAAGCAACGTCGATACTAACATGATATATGCAACACAAAATTTATTAAGAAAAAGATGAAACATTCACTAACCACAAAGGAGACTTCATTAAGGCGGCATACTCCCATTTCAATTAAGTCCTTTAGACGACCTGGTGTTCCAATAACAATGTCCTGAGGAAGGAGAGATTATGTGAGTCTAACCTATCAAGACAATATAAACAATGCAGTCTGTAATAAAAGAAAAAAGCACAAGGGGTCAATTAAGAAACCGTTATCCCTCAGATAGCCACCAAAATGATTCAAATTTATGGCTATGAGTTCCATGGATTGAGAATGAGTCCCTTAGCGATCTAAAAAGAGAAAAATGCTGCTCCAACATAAAGAAGCAAGTTGGCAAAGAACACCTATTGCTGTTAAGTTCTGAGTGTCAACAATTAAACAATATTCTAAAGTTATCTCAAGCTAATGATCTCACTCCCACAGTACAAACAGAGAAAGAAACTATACATTTGCAGTTCATGTTTAAGTCATTTACGCCCAAAATACGTGTTAAAGACTTTGACGCCACCAAAAGGCAAACAATGGTCGTCATCTACCCTTAAGAAACAATCTTAAATCATATAAACTTTAGAAAGTCTTTTTTGTTTTTCCCCTCCTCTCTAGTTTTGATGGCTTAAACTTCAGAAGATGAAAATAGCATGTTATGATTATTTCATAAAATAACAAGTACAAAAAGTTCTACTGAAAAAGATGAATAATCAATAACATATCAGCTAGACTCTAAAGTTAAATTTACTTTATGACAAGTACAGATTTAATTTCTTGAAAACAAGGGAAGCCAAAAGGTAACTTTGAAAACAAGGATAGACAAACAGTAATTTTGTAGGAAAGGTGACTTACGGCCCATTCAATTCCTATCATGTTTGTTGACAACAAAGAAGTGCAAATTTATGTCTAAACCGAAAACAAGATCAAGTGTAGAAGATACAAGTACACATAAAGAGGCAAAGGAACCATACCACGCCAGATTTTAAAGCAGATATCTGGGGTCCTTTGGAAGTTCCTCCATATATGCAGACAGAACTCACTCCACTAGGTTTTCCAGAATCACATAGAACATCTGCAATCTTATCATTCACATGTTGCCAAAATTAGAACATTTGTTCAGTCAAGGTATGCATTTTCAATGAGTACACAAATAACGAGTACCAAAAGTCAAAACTAGTTAAACAAAGAATTCCAAGTTAATGTTCATCACAAGACCATAGAATATTTCTTAAAGATGGCATAATATTCTACAAGATTAGCGCAGCCCTTCCTCAGCTATCCTGATGTAGGCAGCCTCTCTGAAGATAAAATTCTACAAAGCCAATTCGTCCTCCCATTTATAGGATTTTGCAAAAGAGCTTTAAGAAGAGTCCTTTACAAACAATTAGTGAGGGTTGAAGACTAGAAGAACCAATATTGATTGTGTCAGCTGATTCAGCTCCTAGGCAATCATAATTCTAATTATGTTTTAGCTCTTCCTAGCAACATTAACCAAACAAGAGGGCTTCCAATTAACGAAATATAAGATTTAGACTGGAGTTAGCAAGGTGAAAAGGAACTAGATGAGATAACAGTAGACATCATGCAAAACCACTTATCCGGTAGGTAATTTTAGCACTCAATCCTTTCTTAGTCTTCTTATAGTGACGAATCCTCAAAACCAAAAGACATGCTTTACTCTAGTAGCATCTTTGGATCTTTACAGAAGTTATGATATCCTATTATGTATTATCCCTAAAATGATCCAAGACCGATCACAAAATTAAGTCTTCCCTACTATATCAGCGTAAACTTTTTGTCAACTCTGCTGGAACTAAAAGGCCAATACAATGTAAGAGGTATGAGATATCTAAGTGAGATGGCGTGAGGAACATTCTGCTCAAGCAACTCAATGCTAGAAAGCATCCCAAACAGCTCAAATAACTTTTGGATGGAATATTTAACATGCATCTGACTGATTAAAAACAATTCAAGAACACATGAAATACTAAGTATATGAATCTAAAAGCTGACAAACCAAGAATTCCACATAAAACGATAATGTAACCTTATCCATCAATAATTTTCTTCGAACAACTTCAAAATTACAAATCATCAAAATTATAGGAAAGAATTACAAAGAAGTCACATTTAAGGATCACAGAAAACATACTTGTTGGGCTAATTCTCTTGTAGGCGAAAGTACTAGACAAAGTGGATTGACTTTCTTAGATGTTTTACTCTTTCGCTTATTCAAAATATGCACAATAGCTGGAATCCCAAATGCCAACGTTTTGCCTGATAACAAATGATCATCTGCATAAGTTATCTACAATAAAGAAACAATAAAATAAAATAAACGAGCACATATTCATAAAATTACCCGATCCAGTGGCTGCTATGCCAATAAAGTCACGACCATCCAACAGGAAAGGCCACGAATTGGATTGAATTGGCGATGGTCTATCAAAATTCTTGCAGCATTCCAGCACATTATCCGCAAGCCCTGATGCTGCAAATGATTCCAAAGGCTTGTACTTTGAATCATTAACATCTTTTCCTGACTTCACCACATTCCCGTTATTCTCAATGACTTCCGTACCGTCAATTCTCTCTGTCTCTTTACTTTTCTCCAAAGAGCCATTAACATTTTCAGCTGCCCCATTGGCCTCCTCTTCCAATTTGCTGCTCTTATGTTTCTTCTTTTTCTTTGATTCCTCAACTGACCCATTACAAGTTTCAGTCTTTGCGTCAGAATCTGGCAACAACCCATTATTCACCGAATCTTCATGACTCCCCTTATTCTTCTTTTTCTTCTTCTTTTTTTCATATTCCTCAATTGACCCATTTCCAGTTTCAGCCTTTTCATCATCCGGTGACAGCCCATCTCTCAAAATCTCTCCTTTTTTCTCTTTCTTCTTCTTTTTCTTCTCATGTTTCGACTCTACAACCACCTCTGCCTCTGCGGCGTCAGCTTCAGCCTCTTCATGTCTTCTCTTGTGCTTGTTCTTTTGCTTCTTCTGAGCTAAATTTTGATCGATTTCCATGGCTTTTCTGTCGGTTTTATGGGGCAGGGGTTTCACTTGTGAAGGAGTTCTGTCGTCCTTGTTACCTATAGAATTGCAGAACCGGCAGCAAAACCCCCCAGAAAGGCCCAAAGTTTGGGAAACAGACCCAGCGGGATTTTTCTAGGGTTTAGGGGATGGGAGAATGCCCCTGTATTTTCGGTAAATTACAATTGTAGGATTTAGATTTTAGCCCCCGGATATTTAGCTTATTTTAGTTTCGGTGCTGTAATTTTCCGTTTTCATTTAGTATGGACAAACTCAGGCCTCCATTAATCCACTCTTTATTATTGGGCTAAGAAGAGAAGCAAACATCCTATTTGGGCTATGTTATGATTTCATCTTGGGACAAGGAAAGTTTGACAGTTTGTATGTCTATAGGATGGCCCGAAAGAAAACTAAGAATGTAATATGTCTCAAAAAAAAAATTGTGCAAATTGAATTCTGACATTTCTACTAAAAATTAAAAATTAATGATATAAATCTCAAAACTCAATATGTACTAGGAAAGGATTATATAGAGACATCCTGCTTTAGAGTTGCTTAAGATTAATTTTTTTAGAGAGATTAATTAGTTTAAAATTTTTTTTATATTTGCAAAGAAATGTAATATAAATTTTACTCTCACTGTTTCAATGTTAGTGCTTAATTTGTTCAAGGATCAGACAATACTTTTTTTAAATTTTTAATTTTTATTTCAAAAGTTCGGTCTCAAAGCCAATTAGGCAATTAGCCATGCTTGGCATGTGTTCAACTGTCGGTAATTATCATCACAACGAGAAACAAAACGTTCGAATATGTTTGTTTAGTTTTTGTTTTGATCAATGATCAACTTCTTCCAGTAATGGATCATTAAGTTCTTCTACTCGAATAAGATTGTGAAGGATAACACAAGCATTTATAATCTTCACAGTTGTTTTGACATCATAAAAAGACGCTTCTCTCAAAACTTTCCATCGCATTTCAACACACCAAAAGCTCTCTCAATCACATTTCTAGTAGTTGCATGACGGAGGTTATATAACTCCTTAGGAGTTAGTGGATTATTACCTTGGGCTGATCATTCATTGAGATTATATCTAGTTCCTCTATAAGGCGCAAGAAAACCGAGACCATTGGTATAACCCGCATCCACCAAAAAATATTTGCCTACAAAATCAAATGGAAACATTCTTATTAGTACTTCATACACTTTAAAAAACTAATGCACAAAGAAACAAAATATATATATATATATATATATTAGTTATCTAGAGACAAACTTGAAAAACATGTTGTGCAACCCAAATTATTTGAAGGACATGACTTAAAAATCCTGATTAAACTTCAGGCCATAATATATAAACTACACTTTTCTCCAAGGAATACTTGTTTACAGAGCCCTAATTCCAAGGTGGTTTGCCTTGAGAGAAACTGAAATTTAAAGTGTATGAAGCGAGAAAAAGGAGATACACTGAAAAACTAAGGCCGCTGAATATATAGGGAGAAAAATTTACTCATCAGTTTTCATTTACATAAGAAGATACAGAGATGCTATCTGTTTTCCTATAAATATCAATCAGTAATGACTCCAAATGAATAGAACCAAACACACACACACATACACATATATATATATATATATATATATTACGAGTAGCAAACTAACAAGTAACAAGGTGTGGAAAAATCAATCATCTGATGATCGAATGTGACCTTAAACCCAGAACATCCCCAATAATTCATTTGCATTTCCTGGATGTGCCTCACCAATGTATTTACAGTCTCAGAACAATCATTGGCCTCAATCATTTCAAGTGTTGAAAGGTACTCTAGACAAGAAGGCATCTCTTCCGAATCCAAACAACTTTTCAATACCTTTAGGAATTGGCTAATTACCACATACTTTTAGGAACTATAAAGGGGTCTTTTCGAGTCAAAGAATCTCGCAATACTCTAATATCAGCTGCAGATCCTTCCATTCCCGGTAAAGCATAAGTAAACCTTAGGTCACGAGAACATAACGCCAAGACATTTGTTGTGATGTTGCCTTTCCGATTTCTATACCTTCCTTGATCTCTCAATAGAACAACGAGTTCAACATGGGTCCCATCTAGTGCTCCAAGACAGCTCTACCATAATAAAAGCACTAATTAATAATTAGAACTTTTAGACTATAATTTCCAAAATAATCAACAACTAGATATAATATTTACCTCAAACCAGTCCCATTTTTCATCCTCGAATCCTTCCATTTCTGTTGTAGGTTGCACCACATATTGCCTCCCTAGTTTTAGTACAGCATGTAGGACCATATTGAAGTATCGACTAACAGTATCCCCTGATCTAATGAAATCAAAACTGACTTTGCGGTTTGTCAGATTAAAAGAGAGGACATAAAGAAACATTGCAACTACTTCTTCAACCGTGACATGGTTTGAATCTTTCATCCCCAACTCCTTTAACTTGGTACATAAAACAGAAAACAATGTTTATTGAGACGGAGTTGCTCCCTACAAACCCTATCATTTCCATAATATAGACGCCTTAGGTAGATTTCTCGTGCTATGCTGTAATCAATACTTGGCTCTTTCACCCTATGTCTTTCATGCCATTGTGAAGCCTGAGAAGCAAATTCCAACATACGAAGGATAACATATGTCTTTCTTACTGTACTTGATGAGCTCTCATCATCACTTTCACCATCAAATAAGGACAAGGATGGATCCATGAACTGAATTCAAATAATATCAAAACTAATTAAAACTGAAAAAAATACTTCAAAGGATAACACATTCTACTTACCAACAATGCTATTGAGACTTTACCATCTCCAAATGCAATTTCAGATAAAATTGATTTCATTCCATACAATTCATGCCAAACATGAAGTGTGAAGACACTCAATAAAATATAAATAAATTAATAAAATTGGTCATCTCAAAACTCCCATGACATCTATAGTTAAATGGCAACCAACACATCCCCAATGTTAAATCGATTCCATAACATAAACCAATCTTCCAGATAAAGATCAATTCTCCTTGGTCAACTGGACCAGAACACTAGACAATTTCATAACTTTAATCTATACATCATTTCCTGCTCTTCAGCAACCCACCTAAACAACCCGAGGGAGAGGCTATTTACATCTCCTTATGATATTCCAAGAGGTGTAAGTTCCCTCTTTACTACCTCCCCTAAAGCATCCCCTTGCCAAACTATAAGATCCCACCCAAAAACTCAACAACTCCAAGAGAACCAATGACTCCAAGAGAACCAACGTTATACCTAGGGTTTAACAACCTTTGCTATGATGGAAAATTGAGGTACTAAACAATTTTTAACTTGTACAGAGATTTTATTTAGCTCAGCTCTGGTGAAAAAGGAATAGTGAACTTCAAATGCCAACAACTTCAGACCACAAAAAAATGCTGACTTGGGCTAATGGTAAAGCCATTAATCAAAATGGAAAAGAGTCAATGTTTTGGTCTCATTTTCACTGTTTCATATATATGGTATCAAAGTCGAACCCATGATGAAGACAAATTATGACAAGCAAAGACATTAACCATGATTTCATTAAGACATTATAATAGAGGCAAAGGACATGTTACCTTGAATTGATGTTTAATATCTCAACACAATCTCCTCTAATAACTGTAGCCAACCTGAAAGAAAAAGCAAGGACACACTTAATATTTCTTGTACCGCAAAGTTGACAACACCCAAAAGTGCATTAAGACAATGACACTAAATCATGACCACTATTAGACAGCTTTCATTAGATCTTTGAATCAAAAGTCAGAAGAATTCAGAATACACATCACAAACATAAAATTTCCAGCATTTGCTCATTATATTCTCCAGACGTAGATTTACTAATGAGGAATGCTTTTTAGAAAAAACCATCATTTGGGTAACTTTATGATGCGCACTCAACCAGACAGAGTCCACCAGTGTAGTAGATACACATCAAACACTAGAATAATCAACCTTGAAAATGTAGATATGCCCGATAACTTCTACTAATGAAGACAAATATTCAACAAATTAGCTTAAGAAGCTTAAAACTAATGCTCATTAGAGTTAAAAAAAAAGTAACCAGAAGCAGAGATAGGAAAAAAAAACCCTTAGATATCTATTTTGATAAGCAAGAAAAGTATCTAATGATTTACCACACTACTACACTTTCTAAGGAACCTCCATGCCTCAGAGATTCTAGCATAGTTCAGCTAGTTCACAGATGTACAAAATCAGCGGCTCTCCATAATAAAAAGGCATCTACAATAAGTGAACCAACAACACATCACTAATATGTACGAGTCATAATGTCAGTCCACGCCAACACCATAGCTGCTGCAGCTAGGTAAAATCATCCGCACAAAGAAACAACACTTAAATAGCAGCTTTCGCCATGAATAATTTTGAGGACAATGCTTTTTGCACCTTTTTCTCTTTTAGAATTTGATACACGTCAGTGATTATTAAATATGATTAACACCACCAAAGGTTCAAATCATTTAAATTTGACTAAGGGCCGAGTACGAGATGCAAATTGCAAGATAAGAGAAGCAGCAGGCTGCAGAATCCTATCATTACTTAGAGAGGAAACTTAAGAAGTTAACAGAACTTACTAGCCCAGATGCAGCTTTAGCTAGTAACTACTTTGACAATTTCTTAAAAGAGGATTTCTTCATGTCTACTGTGACACCTGGAGGTCTGTAAGGTAGCACGTGACCTGACCTATAAATAGCACGAAAAAACAAAAAACAAATTTATCACATTAGGATATGATAATCCTGCTTGGTTACTCAATATTCCTAGTACTGAAGACAAATAAAATATTCTCCTTCCACCTTCAATTCCAGCAAAACATACAGAACTCAAGAACTAAAGTCGATAACTGAATCAAGAGAGCCAAAACATGACAGATCTAAAGAACCCATGAATAATTTTAATTAACTAAGAATAAGAATCAAGGGATCCACATACAAAGATTCATATTCAAATGGGAAGCTAAAGAGGAGTTAAACAAAAATTAGGCAGAAAAGGCGGCTAGGAAAGTAAACCAAAACAAAAACAAAAATGATGAATCAACTACTGAAATAGGAGGAAAAGAAAACCCTCGATTAGCTATTACT